GTGGTGGCCGCGCCAGTGAGAATCGGCGTACTCGCGACTTTCCTGCGACCCGGTGCACAGTGTGTGGACTCAAGAATCATACAGCAGAGAGGTGTCGGTTCAAAAATTATCGGTGTAATAAGTGCAATAATAAAGGACACCTGAAAAAAGTGTGAGACTTTAAGATGAACAATATTGGTATGGAGTCAACTGAACGTAACGGAACGGAAGAGGCGAATGGCAGTCACGATTGCGAAGAATGTCAACTGTTCAACTTAAGGTGCGTTATTAATGAACCAATATTATTGTCTGTGTGTATTGATGGCTTTTATTTTAAAATGGAACTCGATTCCGGCTCGAGTACAAGCGTTATGTTAGAAAATTATTATTTAAAGTTTTTTTCTCAAGTACCCTTACAATCATGTAATTTAAGAATGTGCTTCTATAATGGTCATAAAATATCACCCGCGGGTTACTGTTCCTTACCGGTTATATTTAATAACCACAAAGAAAATATAATGTTTTATGTAATTAAGAATGGTGGTGACTGTCCACTCCTTGGGCGTGATTTTATGATCAAGTTTGGTATTTATTTCGTCTCAAATAAATTAGAAATGTTAAATCCGAATGAGACTGATATTCAAAAATTATTGAATAAATATTCTGAGTTATTCCAAAACGAACTTGGGTGTTATAAAGGTCTTGAGGTTAGCATTCAATTGAAAGAAAATGTTCAGCCCAAGTTTTGCAAAGCTCGACCCCTCCCTTTTGCTATCAAGGAACAGGTAGAAAACGAATTAGATAAATTAATGAAACAAGGTATTATTGTTCCTGTAACTCATTCTGATTACGCAACACCCATCGTCCCCGTACAAAAATCAAACGGCCAGGTAAAAATATGTGCGGATTATTCTATTACTCTAAACAAAGAAATTCATGTTGACAAATACCCTCTGCCTCGTATCGAGGATGTTTTTGCGAAACTAAGTGGAGGGCAACAATTTACGAAGTTAGATTGCAGCCAAGCTTATAATCAAATTGTACTGTCTAAAGAATCACAAAAACTAACTACAATAAATACATCAAAGGGCTTGTTCATGTATACACGACTTATATTGGGCCTGTCTAGTGCGCCGGCGATTTTTCAACGAGTTATTGAGAATTTATTAGCGGGTATAGATGGCGTAGCAATATTTTTGGACGATATTTGTGTCAGTGGACCAAACAAAATCATACATTTACGGCGTCTCGAACAAGTATTTGAACGCCTTAAAACGGCTGGATTACGGTTAGAAAAAAATAAATGTGCATTCTTACAAAACAGTGTTAACTACTTGGGGCACAAAATAGATAAAACAGGGTTACATAAGTGTTCGAGTAAAGTAGATGCCATAAACAAGGCCCCCGTGCCTACTAACATAACTGAACTTAAACGATTTTTAGGGTTGATTAACTATTATCGTAATTTCGTCCCGAATGCGTCGTCAATATTGTCACCACTTCACGAATTATTACGCGCGAACGCGCGGTGGGAGTGGACAGACAGACACCAGGTGGCTTTCGAACAAATAAAAAAAGAGCTGACTTCTGAGCGAGTGCTCGCGCACTTTGACCCCAGCGCGCAAATCATCCTGGCGGTGGACGCGAGTCCCGACGGCCTGGGTGCCGTGCTATCACAGGTAGGTACAGACGGCGTGGAGCGTCCGTTAGCGTTTGGGTCAAGGTCGCTCACTTGTAGTGAGCGCAATTATAGTCAGCTGCACAAAGAGGCAGCGGCCATAATATTCGGTGTAAAACGCTTTCACCGGTACTTATTTGGTCGACAACAGCCTTTTATCCTAAAAACAGATCACAGGCCGTTGTTAACTATTTTTGGCAGTAAAAACGGCATATCGGTCGCTACAGCGTCTCGTTTAATACGATATGCGATTTACTTATCAGCGTATAATTATATTATTCAAGACCCTGACGAAATTATCCTCATAATTAAATCCCTCAGAGTAAACGCGGCTACCGGTTGGGATGGTATCTCGCCTTTAATTCTTAAGAGAAACTCTGTTGTGCTAGCTCCAATACTCTCCTTTATTTTTAACCTTTGTTTCGACACCGCAGTATTCCCCACATCGTTAAAAAAGGCGATTATTCACCCTATCCACAAGGGTGGAGATGGCATTTTGCCTAACAATTATCGACCTATCGCCGTTCTTAGTGCATTTTCCAAGGTACTCGAAATGCTCATTAATAAAAGATTGGTGTATTACCTTGAGCATCACAAGTTATTGTCACCTCAACAGTTTGGATTTCGTAAGAATAGATCTACCTGTGATGCTGTACATGACCTAACTAATCACGTCGTACAGACCCTAAACTCTAACAAGAAAATACTTACCATCTTCCTAGACCTCGCTAAGGCATTCGACACCGTTCCTATTTCTGCTCTCATAAACAAGCTGGAAGGCATGGGAATCAGGGGAAAACAACTAGATCTATTTCGGAGTTATCTAACGAATCGAACCCAAACTGTGAGAATCGACACTTGCGATAGCGATGAGCTTCCTGTTTATTACGGCGTGCCGCAAGGTAGTATTCTAGGCCCTACTTTGTTCCTGGTGTTCATAAATGACCTATGTGATCTGAACATCCCTAATGCCAAAATAGTGTCATTTGCAGATGATACAGCTATTACGTTCCAGGCGGAAACTTGGTCAAAGCTTGAGCACTATGCTCAGGGTGGACTGGATACAGCTTTTAATTGGCTTTATTCTCATACTCTTACAATAAATACTTCCAAAACCAAACTTTTAATATATTCTATCAGCTCCGCATCTCAACCAAACATTCCAATCACCATAAAAGCACATAATTGCCTACCGCCAAGAACAACTCAATGCAATTGTCCCAACCTAGATCGTGTAGATCATATTAAATATCTTGGCATAATCTTAGATACAAACCTAAGTTTCAAAGCCCACATCAATTTCTTTACCGGTAGAGTGCGTAAATTAATTTATATTTTTAAAACACTAAGATCAATATCGAATCCTACAATAATCCGTAACATATACTTTGCCTTGTGTGTCTCCATTATTACGTACTGTATTTCATGTTGGGGGGGTGCTGCTAAAACTGCCATGAAACCCCTAGAAATTGCCCATAGATCGATTTTGAAGGTAGCAACATTCCGTCCAATTATGTACCCCACTGATGAATTATACAACCAATGTAAGGTTTTAAACGTTCGGCAACATTTTATAAGCGCATAAGGCGCATAAGGAAATAACCAGACGACGAAAAGACAAAGTTTGTACAATACCACATCCTAGGACGGCATTTACTAAAAGATTCTTTTATTTCTTGGGTCCAGCTTTATACAACAAAATGAGTCGAAACTGTTCAATCAACAACCTATCACATCACAACTGCAAAAAGGCGTTAAACACATTTCTGCAAGATAAAACCTACGAGGAAACTGAAAACTATCTTTATACGTATGATACATAAAACACACACACACGCACGCACGCACACACACATACACACACACGCACACAAACACACACACACACACGCGCACACACCCACACCCACACAAGCACGCTGTTTCTGTTTAATTATGTATAACCTTAAAAATGTCATAATACTTTAATGCACTAAATTGGTATATTGTAATACCTGCCACCGAAAGGGGTTTGGGACTGTTACTCCTTAATACAGGTTATTCCATAACCTAGCTAGGAGGACAGCGCTTTAACCACTGATTGTATGCACTATCTTCATTAATTTCTGTATCTATGTACTACAATTACCTTACGAAAATAAATATTATTATTATTATATTATTAATACACGCCAGGTAAACAGAATCAAGCTGCAGACTATTTTTCCCGCGCGCCGATTGTCACTGAATGTTGTGAAAATAAAAATAATCACAACCATGCCTATGAAGTAACTGAGAAATGCCATGTATATATTGTAAATAGTTTGCAACTACAAAGTTTACCTATCACATATAAAAACATCTGCGCGGCGACCGCTAGCGACGAAACGTTATCTGTAGTGATAAAACATGTTAATAATGGTTGGCCACGTAAAGTAAAATGTAAAAATGTTTTACCATTTTATCAGTGCAGGTATGATCTAGACGTCGAAAGCGGCTGTCTTATGAGAGGTCATCGCGTAGTCATTCCTTTAAGGTATAGACGTACTTTATTGCTCGAATTACATAAATCACATCAAGGTATTGTCAAAACAAAGAGCGCAGCGCGCTCTCTGATGTGGTGGCCGGGCATTGATAAGGATATCGAACAGTTAATAGGTAGTTGCGATGTATGCAGCGCATTACGGCCATCCCCTCCACGCGCAACGCCCGCGCCTTGGCCGCGGCCCGCTGCGCCTTGGGAACGAATACACATAGATTACTTGAGTGTAGGGCAAAGGTCATACTTAGTGGTAATCGACGCATATAGTAAGTGGCTCGAGTGTTTAGATATGGGGGGAGGTATTACAACTAAACATTTAATAAAAAATCTGAAATCGTTTTTTGCAAGGTTTGGTTTACCAAGATGTTTAGTTTCGGATAATGATCCGAAAATAGCATCTCAAGAATTTTTTGAGTTCTGCAAAACTAACGGAATTGAGCACATAACTTCACCTATATATCACCCTAGTAGTAACGGTCAAGCGGAAAATTCCGTCAAGACCTGTAAGAAAATGATAAAATCTATTATGCAAAGTCAAACTTGTATAAATATAATTAAAGAAAAATTAGAGGAATATTTATTTGAATATCGTAACACTACGCATTGTTCGACGAACATGTCGCCTGCAAAGTTAATGTACGGTCGGAAGTTACGAGGTAGATTGGATCAAATTTTGCCTCCACGTAAAAATTGTAAACTACAGTCTACAACACATAATGAAAAGGCAACCCGAGCGTTTATAACGGGACAATCAGTTTTGGTAAAATGTTTTGAAAATAGAAAACCATATTGGTGTAGGGGTATAATTGTAAAGAATTTAGGATGCAGGTTGTATCAGGTACATTTAATAGCTCAAAATGTTATTTGTAAAAGGCATATCGATCAATTGTTACGATACACAGATAATGATACCTTAGATCAAATAGTAATTTCTCATGATAATGACTTATCACATAACAATATTTGGCCACCAAAAAGAACTGAGATTGAAAACCCTCTCGACCCTATTTCTCAGCCAGAAAATTTACATTCACCAAATGTAAATGATTTTGTGCCGACCGTTAGTGACCTGGAGAATCAAACTGAAATAGTGGAAGAAGGAAGTGACGTGTGGCAAGAGGCTTCAGAAGTGGGTGGTGAGGAGTTGATGGCGGAGGAAAATGTTGTTGACCGGCATTGTGAAGTGGTGTCTCCTCATGTCCTTAGACCCGAACAAAATATTGAACACCCAGAACCAAGTCATCAACCAGTTCCCCCGACATTAACATGCCTGGAACCATACAACCTCAGGCCTAGAAATAAAAATATTAATTATAAGGTTTAGAATAGTTATATATATATGCTAGTAAAATGTAATATGTTAACAATGCGTTTGCACTGTCACCAGGTTCCCAAACTAGAGGAATGTTATGTATGGTTATAACATGTACATAGTAAGCTACCGAGACACTTATGTACGACGGCTTGTCAAATAAGGCAGTAATAAACCAGTGATTGAGTGAAGCACACGTTGTTATTTATTTACCACCTACCGACATATCAGTCACCACCCCTATTCATCCCGTGGGTGTCGTAAGAGGCGACTAAGGGAGCGAAATACGCAGGACACCAGCACTGCAGAGAGAAGGAAAACTTGACACAAACCCTATACCAACCCGTCTGGCCAGCGTGGTATAGTAGGCCAAAACCTCCTTTCTAAGGAGAGGCCTATGTCCAGCAGTGGACTGTTAAAGGCTGTTGATGATTGTAATTTCTAATGCGGCTTGTGCAGTTTGGGCTCCATACCTTAATGAGGTATTGAGAAACTGTACAGTCTAAAACGGAAATGACAAAACTGAAGATGTTTTAGTGATTGTGTTGAAATATACGAATCTCGGGAACTTAGCTGCTAGTCGTAGATAAAATCTAAGACATTCTGTTATAAAAAAACATATGCGTGTCTACGGCGAACTGGGTCATACATCTGTATGATCGACATGCAGTCTCACCCCCTTACCCTGTGGTACATAAATGATTGTTACCTACAGTGCAATGGTCGATATTGATTTCTGAGCTACGAGGACACGTATTTGCATAAAAAACGTGCTACTAAGTAAAATACAATGACATTGTCTAAATATTTTTTTTTTGTGTTTCAGCATAATCGGGTGGAGACAGTTCCAGTTCTAAACAGTTTAAAACTGTTACAGTTTAAGAAATTTGGATTAGTCTTAAGTATTTGCATCAATTTTTTTTTTTTTTTTTTGTATGAAATATAATTATTACTAAAGAGAATTTGTTTTACTTTTGTATTTGCTCCTGGCAGTGATAGTTTATTTAAGTTATTTACTTATATGTAGTTCTAGTCTAGCAGTGTGGAGTATTTACCTTAGAACCAAAGGGGAACTTACACTCGGAGGGCTGGTCGGTTTGTCTGTCAGTCTGTCTGCCTGCTTAGAGACTGTTAGTACGAGAAAGCTGTAATTGTGATAAATGACGGCAGTATACGTAACGGACTGGGAAGGAAAATTATTACATCTAATTTCTCATAGCTAGGTTAAAACTAATAATCACTAACTTATATAGAAATTGAACCCTTCATATGAAATTTCGTATACATACAATATTTTTCGTTTTTTGTTCTGGAGAGTCAACAAATAGTAACGATGGTTTGGTGACTCTCGCGAACAGAACGTACAACTGCCCATGCGAAAAACACGGCAATTCCAGGTTTTGCTGTTACTAAGTAGTAGTAATTGTATATGACGGAGGACCGGTGTATGTGTAGTTTTATATACAATTAAAGACGTATTCCAAGTTCTTACCAAGGGTTGTATAGGGAACCGTACGGTCCGACGATAGTAAATATAGACAACAGTAAATACAATCAAAGATGTATTGTATTCCAAGGTCTTACCAGTTGTATAACATGATTCTGCAGATCATTTCTGAATACTAACTTTTAAAACTTCAATCATAATCAATTAGATTCTAATTTAAATCTGTAGCTAATTTAAATAAGCATAAACGCAATTACACTATCATAAAAATAGTTTCACACAACACTCGTATTCGTCCTAAGTGGGAATCGAACCCACGACGAGCTTCACAGTCATTTATCACAGTTATCTGAACACTTAAGGTTTGGAAATAGTTATTTATTACTTCTTAACACTACTCAAGACATTCACGGCACTTATGATTTTTTACATTATAGTGTTGAGTGATGTGGGTCGCTCCAGAACGATCGTATAGTAAGTACGTTAAGTTAGTTGGTCCATGGCCCCCTTACAGCCTGCGCGTTCTCGGTTATTGTTGACATGCCATCTTTATTTAATTAAGTAAATTTATATAGTACAAAGTGTTGTGAATAGACAGTATATCCTGTTTCACGTTGTGTATATTGTGTGTCTCTTGCTTGTACTCCTTCTGTCTTTTAAATAGTATATCGTGTTGTTGTGTGTATAAATTATAACAGTAAGTGGATATTGACTTTTATTTATATTCACCCGTAAGTATACATACTGCTCCACATTACTATAAATCAATCAAATTATTTTTATTAAGTGGAGTAGCTTGTAGTTGAGCGAATACATATGAATTAATGTCACCATTCTATTAATCTTGAGAGTTGTGTTTTGTAAATATATAGAATCTCTTACAGTAATTTGTCTCGTCAGCAGTGGACGTGTTCATAAGTTGTTAGGTTAAGTGTTCGAATTGCTAAGTTTTCTTGGTGTTTTTAGATAATATGATTCTTCTGGTATTGCTACTTACTGTTAAAACTTCAATTATAATCAATTAGAATCTAATTTAAATCAATTAAGATATTTTTATTAAGTAAATCAGCAAATTATTTTTATTAAACTACTTGTTTTTCTTTTTTTTATATACAAACCTTGTTCTGACAATACCGAATACAATAAAAAAAGAATAATCTAATTTATTGCAGTCGTTCAAAGTTATGCGCGTACATTCATTGCGGCGACTCATTTTTATTTATATAGATAAATATAGATTGCATAAACTTCAATTAATCTCGACTTTTATTCACATTTTGATATTAAATGTTATTAAATTGATATTAAAATTGTAACTTTATTACCAGGCGGAACATTTTATACTATAGTATGTATCTAAGAATTTTGATTACTTCCTGATCCTGCGAATAAATTACTTTTCTATTCTATTCAATGTACGTACTGTTAGATTGGACAGTCCGGCACTTTTAAAAAAAACCACCACTGACTATCACAATTATTTATTTTATAACTCTACACAACTTTTGGCAACTTAATATAGACACAAACTTATATAACACCACTTAACACGGATTATACGCGTTTTTATTGGCCCCAGCGAAGGGCAGAATAGACCCGGAGTATATTATTGCTCTAGAATTCCTTGCTGAAAACCAACCAAGGTTGGGGAGTAGTCAGCGACCACAAATTATATCAGCACTAGAGACTAATAACTGACTAATTTAAGAAAAGGATTGGTATTTATAGTGTATTTATTGCTGATCTGCAATGTTAAATTTACGTCATTTTGCTATTATTGCAAGTCAGCAATATTGTATTGCATTCCTATGCAATATCATCAAAATTAGGGATGTAACACCTCCCCCCTTTAAAACGAAACATCCGGAAATAGAAAAAGATGTGAGTATAATCCATGTAAGATAAAATTAAGATTAGAAATTGAGTTTACAAATTTATCTTAAATTATATTATATAGTTAGATTATCATAAAAATTAGAAATAGTAACAACCCAAAATGAAATTAAAGAACCCAGAACTAAATTAAACATATTATCAAAATAAAAATAGAATCTATAGATTATATTATTACAATAATTCAAGATTACGTCTTGGAGTACTTACATTGGAATCAGTACTTTCTGTATCACATTCACGATTGGACAGTTCAATGCTAGTTCTTGTGCGGATATTAGTGCTAGGTTTAGTCATACAATTGTTAAAAACTTTGACACAACAAGAAGTACTGTTTCTATGTTTATACACATTTATAGAGTTTATAAGAAAAATAGGAGAATACAGAGACAGACAGTATGGTAGTAATAATGCTAAAATAGTAACTATAACTAATATGATATGGTTGAGTTTCAATTTTGGTCAAATCGTCATTGATTTGATTTAATCGGTGAGAAGCGTATTGTAATGAATCTAAATTTACATGTGTTAATTTGATAGAGCTCAGATGTGGTAAAGTATCATTTAATTTAACTTTAGAGCAGCAATCATCTTCTATAATATTAAAATTAGGATGTGGAATATTGATTTTAGTTTCAAATTCTTGAGATGGAATGAATTGAAGTAGCTTGTGGTAAGCCTTACAGGCAGGGTTAAAATACCTGTACCAACTATACCATAGTCATTTATAATGCCATTACAATTAATAGAGATTTTTGTTATATCAGATTGAACATAAATCCGTCTATTATTTTTAAGTTTTTGCGATATAAAATTTTGCTTAAAATTACAAGAGTCTGGGATACCTTTCACATGTTCGGTTAAGACCGTCACTTCACAATTTGGATTTCCGACACTTGATTGTATATTACCTAATTTGCACAAATAATAATTGTTATTTATCACTTTGCACTCACTTAAGTCTTCTAACACGGAGTAAATTAATTTATCTTGTGTCACTGCCAGGAATTTTGCGGTTGGATTAATTAAAGCGAAAGTATTAGGATTATTGATATCATGAGGAGTTGGTAAAGAGTACGTGGTACAAGTTGTATTGTACAAAGGATACTAGAGGAATTCTGATTACAACAATAAGTTTGTTGTCGTTAATGAAAGAAGATATTTCTGAGACATCTAGAATTGCGTGAATGTTACTAGGAGTCAAATGTAAAGGTAGGCTTAAAATAACATCGTTACTTTTTGAATTCAATTCATTGTACAATCGCATGGGACTTAGTACAGAAGGATGAAAAATATTTTGTTTACCGAATAAAATAGCATGAATAAGGTCTTTTAAATTAAAATTAAGAATCATTAAAAGCTAATTTAATTTCGTCAAAATGATATCTAACATGTCTACGATTGATTAAAAGAGTGACATTATTATTGCTATGTACTTTAATTATTTTATATGGACCTTTCCAGATGCTAGAAAGAGCTTTACGCAGTCTGTGATGGTGCTTCACATACACCATATCTCCAACCTTATAAGAAATGTCTCTAGTGTTTTTATCATAATATTTTTTTTGAAGTTTCTTTACTACGGAGGATATTTTCTCTGGCTATATTTCTGGTATTGATTAGCTTTTGTTTTAGCGTTTTAACATAATCAGGATAGGTAGCTGTTGGGTCA